GTGGACTATGGCGAGATCTGCAGCAGAATTGGACAAGATGTCCAGTGAGGTCCATCTCAATGTTGGGAGCCACTTGCTACATCTTTTATGCTTTTACTCAGCAATGATGAGTTTCCAATTCAGGGGGATTTTTGATTGTTGAATGCTTTGGTAAAAACACAATACATCTCATTCATCATCTTATCTTACCAAAAGCTTGACCTGAAAATCAGAGTGGGTACCTGGTGACTTCAACTTGCTGCTGGCTGTGAGGAGTCTCCGTGTTGATCAGCACCAACCAGTGTCTGAGGGCATGATCTATAGACATCACCAACATGCATCCCTTATTCATAGACATTGGCATCTGATTCTGCCATGGCCTCATGACCCTCGTGGTGCCTCTCCGATCCACTCGCAGTTTGCTTACCACATTGCAGGGTGCACCAGCAACTAGTGTTTAAAAGCTGCAGTAGGGATAGACTAGACCAGGTTGCATCTCAGGGCTCCTTGCTTGCTCTCTTCAACTCACTCACTGAGCACCTACCTGCATGCACACAGCATCCATACATTTCCCTAAGGGGTCTTGAGTAGATTTGTAGCTCGGGTTGTGGATGTTATGGTTGGTTCGCTTGCTGAGCTGGTTAGTTAGTTTGCAGACGTTTCATTACCCTGCTGGGTAACATCATCAGTGCAGCCTCCAATAAAGCGCAGTTGTGTTTTCCCACATGTTATTTAAACTCTGGGGTCCATTGGAGTTGATTACCTCATTTCTGGTTTTTCTTTGCAGTGGTGTATATATAGGGTCTAATTCCACGTATTTATTGATGGCCCTCTTGGTGGAGAACCAGGCCTCTAGAAATTCCCATGTTTGTCTCTGTTTGGCTTGCCCTAGGATCCTGACATTGTCCCAGTCGAGCTGGTGGTCCTCCTTATCTGTGTCCATGGACACCAGTGAGTATTGGTCATGTCTTTTTGTTGCTAGTTGGTGTTCATATATTCTCATAGCCAGTTTCTTTCCTGTCTGTTCGATGTAATGTTTGTTGCCGTCCTTGCACGGTATCTTGTATATTACGTTGGTTTTGTTCATAGTGGGTAAGGGTCTTTGGTTCAGGTTAGCAGTTGGTGTATGGTTGACGTAGGTTTGTGTGCTACTCTGATGCTCAATGGTCGTGGGAGTTTGGTGTTCAGTTCAGATATATCCTTGATGTACCGAATCTTCCCATTATTGTTTGTGTGACAGGCATTGTCAGACCCAACTATTTTGGTATCCGTTATATCTAATTACTTTGTAGAGGTATTATTCTTCATTTTGGCGTAGCTCTGCGTTGCTACAGTGTGTTGTGGCTCGTTTGAACAGTTATTTTAACGCAACTCCATTTGTGGTTTAAATAACAACTGGGAAAACACAGCAACGCTTCACCGGGGACTGCACTGATGATGTTACCCAGCAGGGTAATGAAGCGTCTGTGGAACAACGAACCAGCTCAGCAAGTGAACCATCCACAACATACATTGCCCTGTTAGCACACTGCTGCTTCAGCCAGAAGCAAAGGATACTAGTACTGCCATATCGACAAGCTCTTTTGTATAGACATCACAGAAAAGCTGCTTGTCAGTGGGGATCTGTCTGGGACGGCGGGGCTGATAGCTTGTTGTATGGCACACCTACAGCTGCCAATGCGGCAAACACACCACATGTGTACCCAAATGGCTATGTTAGAAAGTGAGTAGGGCATAGTCCACAGTCCAGTCAAGGGGAGGAGGGAAGTGGCGGGATTCATTGTTGGTCAGGGTTCCTTGTATCATCAGTCATGGGCTCAGTCCACACACAGCTCCAGGAATTTGGCCATGGTCGGGGGATCTACCCAACATTAATGTGAGGAGTAGGCAGCAGACAATCCTGCTGGGGCCAGCAGCAGCTGTTGGAGGAATCACATGTTGTTAGTCAGGGATAACGCAGCGTGGAGCTGGAGGAACACAGCAGGCCAGGCAGCTGCAGAAATTTTTTCTGAAGATGGGTCTCGACCCGAAACATCAGCTTTCCTGCTCCTCTGATGCTGCCTGGCCTGCTGTGTTCATCCAGCTCCACACTGTGTTATCTCAGACTCCAACATCGGCAGTTCTTACTATCTGTTGTTAGTCAGGGAGCTGTAAAGAGAGTGGTCAGGTTCTGGTCAGCTGATCTTCCAGTTGGTCAGAGGTCTGGGTGTCTGTCTGTTGATTATTAAGGAGGGTGCAGGGTGGGGGCCTTTTGGGACAGCACAGGAGTCATTGTCAAAAGTGGTAGAGGTGTCAGAGGGCGTGCAGAGCAAAGGCATTTGTAGAGAAGGGGACAAGGATGGCTATTGGGGAGATGCAAGGCGCATTGGCTGTGACTGAACAGCAGCAGAGGACAGGGTAGGCTATGGTAGGGGGATGTTTAGTAGCAGTGGCCATCACCCTGGCCTCCACTGTTGGAGCATAGAGGAGCAGGGTGGCATCATTAAGGTGTAATATCCGGGTTCAGGGGTACGGTAGACATTTGGATGCAAAGTTCAATATGGTGGAGAAAAGCACATTGGAGGGATGATTGGAAATGGGCAGTCAGGATAGTGTGAGGTAAAAGGGGACATCGAAGCTCGGGGTAGCAGGGGAACACCAGGTGACCAGACAGGGCCCAATGATGACAGTGTTCGCCATTGATTGGAAGCGCATGTTCAACACCTGGGGTGGGTGGAGTCACCATAAGTTTGATGGGAAAACGCATGGGACCTGTGTCTGATTTGGCCACAACAAAGATTTTGAATTTTTTTTACAATCCAGCTATATCATACTTTGAATAAAAGTAGTTAGTTAGTTCAAGAGATGAAGGATATAATTACAAGATCTTCTTGAATGAAAGAAAGAAGAATTTTATTGCTTAACACGTAGAAAGATAATAAAATGCGGCAACGAACACCCACACAAACACAGGTATAAAGTTTATGCAGTTAAAAAAATGTCCTGAGAATCCTCAGGTATGAGGCTTAATATGAGACCCCAGTTATTAAATTGATGACTTGTATCCTCTGCAGTGGCGAAATTTGTAATTACCTTTGAATTCTAGGTAAATTGATGTTTCTCCCATTTGCTTTATCATCTAGTTTTTATTTGACAGCCTAAGAGAAAACAAGGAGAGAGCTTTCTAATTCTCCTGTTAAAATCTATCTTTCCCCCTCTCTGCTTTTCCCAAAAGCAATTGCCTGTTTTCCTGTGATTGACTTTCTGGATAATTTGCAGCAAGTTTCGTACAAATGTGTGAAACATCCAGAAAGTTATAAATCGAACAGGAGGTACAGATCTGGTTGACTGGCTTCAGGCTTTTTGACAACATGTAAATTTCTATAGACACTGGGTCCCGGTTATTGATGTTCCCATGATGCTTGGCTCAACCTGGTTGGGTATTTGCTGTAGCCATCTTAAGTTGGTGTTTTTGTTTAGATGCATTAACATTTAGAGCACAGCAGGAGGCCATCTGGCCCATCACACCAGGTACCAGTCAACAAAGATCTGATTACACTGATTTCATTTTCCAGCTTTTGTAGCCCTGGAAGCTCTGGCAAATCACAAGTTGATATCTAAACACTGTTAAATGTTACAAGAGTTTCTGGCTCATCCACTCTATCATGCAGTGAGTTCCATGGAAAAGAATTCTCTGCACCGTTCCCTTTTCAGTATCATTTTAATCCATGAAATTTCCTAGATACTAAACATCAAGTGATGGAAGTTGAACTTGATAGCCCACTTTTACCACTATCAAGACAAATGGCAATGGGCTGGTAGGTGGGAGTGCAATGTCAGGTGGCCGTTTTGGATCGAAGGAACCATCCCTGATAGTAATATAGGTCACTAGATGGGGTGTGGGGCAGGAATCTGAGTTAAATGGTGGAAATCTGGGTTAGGGAAGCCCTAATTCTGCCTGCGTAATCTATTCATATTTCTTCAGGTCCAACCAGTCAAGTTAAAAATCAGATTATTAACACTTTTTGACTGGTCTTTTGGCCCCAACTCCTTTGTCCCTCTGGGTTGGCCTGTTGAGGAAGGTACAACTGCTTCCCTGTGCAGGGCATGGTTGAAATAGCAGCCAGACCCCAATGCAATAGTCAGGGCTGGATCTCCATTATCAAAGAGTGATCTGACTAGTGTTTGTGAAGTGTCTTTCCTGAGCAGGTTACAATTGCAGCTTGTGAGCTCAGTGGGCCATATGTACCCCATGAGCGATTGTAACTACCCATTTGTGTGGTGTTTACTGAGCAAGTTGGGAAGAAGCACATTACCAAACCAGTGCTATGATTTTACCAAAGATAAATCTTGAACCCAAAGTGGTTTGGTTCCGTCCTAGCTTTGGTCACTTAGAGGAATTTAAGTCTTGACTAAGTCAGGATTCTTTGGATGCAATTTCTTTTCATTGGCAAAATAGTGCAGCAGTTTTATTTATATGCTTCCAATGCAGCTCTAACATAATCTTAAACTCCCTGCCTTTTGAACTGATGCTAACAATTGCTGCCAAATGCTTTGAATGGATGTTGAAAGGCTCCCACTGAATTACTGGCAGCAGATTGTAGTGAGAAACATAATGAATTGAAGAAGAATCAATAGACGTAATGGAGAGCATGGTGACTGTTACTAATACAATGCCATTTTACTTAATGAAAAATTGATCTTTGGCTCCGTGATAAGCAAACTTGTCAACCAAGATCAGTTGAGCAATAATGATTGCCAACCAGATTGTTGCATGGAACATTGACCTCTCTAGCTGTCTTTCTTTCATTAAGACACTTCTCAAACCTCTTTCACCATCCTTTTGATCACCTGTTTCCTCATCTGGCTTTGTTACATTTTGTCTGAAATTGCTCCTGCCAAGTGTCATGTGACACCACGTGAGATTTCCCCAAAGCAAGTTATTGTATCCGTTGCATTTTTAACTGACCGATGTAAATGTTGAATCTTATTGACAGTGTTTCATTTTCAATTGTTAAAACATCTCTTAATTCCAATTGCAGGATCAGCAATCAACATTTTTCCAGTTTGGTGCTTCCATTCATCAACAAGTTGGAGTGATGCTAAATATCATGGAAGAATATGACTGGCATGAGTTTTCCATTGTAACCAGCACCTTCCCTGGATACCATGAGTTTATTAGTATACTAAAAACAACAGTCGAAAACAGTTTTGTGGGCTGGGAGCTACTCAGCACCATCACATTGGATGCTGTTGTTGGGGATTCAAAAGCTCAAATCCAACTGAAGAAAATACAATCGTCAGTCATTCTGCTGTACTGTTCGAAAGACGAAGCCATTTTTATACTGGAGGAAGCCCGTTCACTGGGCCTTACAGGCTATGGTTTCATCTGGATTGTGCCCAGTTTGGTAACAGGTAACACAGACAACATACCAGAGGCATTCCCAGCTGGGTTAATTTCCGTATCATATGATGAGTGGGACTACAGCCTTACAGAAAGGGTGATGGATGGTGTTGGGGTCATAACAACAGCTGCTTCTGCCATGATGGAACAATATGGATACATTCCGGAAGCAAAAACAAGTTGCTACGGCCAATTGGAGAAGAAAGTTCTTCCATTCCTTTCACTGCACAAGTAAGTTCCTGATGTGCATGCTTCACAATTCTGCTGAGAACCCACATCACACAGTATTTAACACTTCTTTAATTAATTCTCTATGAATGAAACACTGCTGTGAAGTGAAGAAAACAAAGAAAGCAACAAATAGTATTTGCAGGACACATAAGGCCTCCCTTAAGTCAGAAATGAACAAACCATTACTGCACATAATAGAGTTCTGGCCATAACCAACAAAACAGCAGGACTTGTTTCCTGTCTTAGTGTGGGTTTCTAATCAGAAAGATATGGTCAGGAGAACTACCAACTGAGAAGAAGGTGCTAACACACATGTGAACATGGCTTTAGAGAAAATCCATGGATTCTTCACCTGAGGCCACTTTAGTGCACTTTTTCACAGCCAAAATAAAACAGTAATAAACCTTGGAGGGAGCTATAATCTGGTTCAAGCACAGAAACTAGAGCGTACAGACAACAGACCCAGAAGAATGGAGGGAATTGTAAATATGCATGTGCGTATATATAAATATATATATATATGTGTGTATTTTAAATAATCTGCTTAAAACATATATGCCAAAATGTTGTGGGGCGTGGGGTTGGGGTGGTGGGGAAGAGAAGTGAGTAAAGAAAGATTAAAGACCACAGGACATCCAATGCATTTGACCACATCTAATTAAGTCACCACTGCATGGTACACTTCCTGTGGGCTCCACAAAATCTGAAAGTTCACCTGCAGTTAAAAGCAGCAACTGTTTCACCAATAAAGTGGTTCTGGAAAACTTTATGGAGTTTGCTTGAGAGACTAGGCCATTGCCAAGACAGTTATCTTCAGAAGTGCTGACATAGTTTCGAAGTTCTTGTGGGTGTTATGATATCTTCTAAATTTATTAGTAGATCTTATTTTTAAAGAAGTTCTGGAAGACAATTGTCAACTTGCTTCTGAATCATCTTTCTGCTGAGAACGGATGCGAATATAATGGTGTCCTGATTTCAGCAAATCTCAAGAGAATTTGATGGATATTTGAAAAATAAATATATACAGTGCTGCAAGGTGGGGACATGAATATGGATCTAATTGGATGGCCCTTTCAGAGACGTAGCAAAGGCATGCTGGGCCAAATGGCCTACTGTCCTGTGTGATTTTATGAATTACATAAAAGCAAAACACTGCAGACCATGAAGCATCTGTGGAAAGATAAAGAATGAAAACTGGTGAGGGGATTCTAAAGGATCCTACAAGAGCAGGGAATATAGCATGCAGGGTGACTTCATTACACAGGCTGTGAAATTTCAATTGATCCTGTGTTTAGCTACAGGGATAAAGTCAGTAGCGTGTTTGCAGTGAGCTGGTCTTCATACTGGGCTCTGGTGGATTCTTACTAGTAAGATATTTGCACATCATGAATACTCATTAGTGTGAACCTTTTGTTTTTATTTACATCCTACATTGAAGATTAAGCCATGCGTGGGAGCTATGCACAAGAATCTCATGGCACCTGATTCACAGTTGTAGTGTGTGTTCGGTTAGTTTTGTGTAGTTGCGTGCATGGTCAGCAGTCTTCAATGTGTGACTCTACAGCACAAGGGAGTGGAGCATGGAGTTTCAGGGTGGTCAGTGGTAAGGGGAGTTGTGGAGCGGGATTGGAGGAATGGACAAGGTGGGACAGAGGGGCATGGAGGAGTGAAATGGAAAGGGCCTGACATCCTGGGTATGGTGTTGGTGGTTTGGAGTTTTGGGGACAGTTAGTCAAGATAAGGAAATGAGGGTACCATAGGCTGTGTCAGTATTGTCATAAGACCACAGGACATGGAAGCAGACGTAGGATGTCCAGCCCACCGTGTCTGCTCTGCCATTTGATCATGACCAATATGTTTCTCAACCCTAATCTCCTGCCCTTCTCCCTGTAATCTTTGATCGCCTTACTAGTCAAGAAGCTATCTATCTCTGTCTTAAATGCACAGCCTTCTGCACCAATGAGTTCCACAGATTAACCACTCTCTCTCTGAAGAAATTCCCCTCATCCCAATTCTAAAGGTTTGTCCCCTCACTCTGAAGCTGTGCTATCAGGTCCTAGTCTTTCCTACCCGCGGAAATATCTTTGCCGTGTCCACTCTATCCAGGCCTCTCATTATTCTGTAAGTTTCAATGAGATTCCCCAACTCATTTTTCTACACTCCATCCTACCCAGAGTCCTCAACTGCTCCTTATATGACAAGCCTTTCATTTCCAGGATCATTCTTGTAAACCTCCTCTGTACTGCCTCCAAGGCGGGCACATCCTTCCTTAGATATGGGCCAAAACTGCCCACAATATTCCAAATGCAGCCTGACCAAACCAGCAGAACATCCCTGTACTTGGAATCTAGCCCTCTTGAAATGAATACTAATATTGCATTTGTCTTCCTAACTGCCAACTGAACCTGCATGTTAACCTTAAGAGAATCCTGAACTAGAACTCCTAAGTCCCTTTGTATTTCAGATTTCAGAAGCCTTTCCCCATTTAGAAAATAGTCTCTGCTCTATTCTTCCTACCAAAGTGCATAATCTGTCACTTTCCAACATTGTATACCATCTGCTACTTCTTTGCCCACTCTCCTAACATGTCCTTCTGCAGCCATTTTGCCTCTCCAACATGACATGTCTCTTCACCTATCTTTGTGTTGTCTGTAAATTTTGCAACAAGGCCCTCAGCTGTTTCATTCCAGATCATTGATGTCTAACGTAATAGTTATGGTTCCAACACTGACCCCTGCGGAACTCCACTAGACACTGTCTGCTGTCCTGAAAAGACCCCTTTATCCCCACTCTCTGCCTTCTCCCAGTTGGCTGATCCTCTGTTCATGCCTGTACCTTTCCCCTAACACCATGAGCTTTTATCTTATTTAGTAACCTCGTGTGCAGCACCTTGTCAAAGCCTTCTGAAAATCCAAATACATCACATTCACTGGCTCTCCTTTGTCTAATTTGCTTATTACATTTTCAAAGGATGCCATCACATTTATCAGACATGATACCCCTTTGACGAAGCTGTGCTCTCTCAGCCCTATTTTACCATACATGTCCAAATACTCCACAATTTTATCTTGAATAATCAACTCTAAAAACTTACCAATGATAGAGGTCAGGTTAACTGGCCTATAGCTTCCTGTCTTCTGCCTCCCTCCCTTCTTAAAAAGGGGTGTTATATTAGCCATTTTCCAGTCCTCCAGGATCCTCCCTAATTTCACTGTTTCCTGAAAGATCACCACCAGTGCCTCCACAATCTCCTTAGCTATCTCCTTCAGAACTCTGGGATGTACATAGAACATAGAACAGTGCAGCACAGTACAGGCACTTCGGCCCATGATGTTGTGCTGACCTATTATCCTACTCTAAGATCAAACTACCCAGCATACCCTACATCTTATTATCATCCATGTGCCTATGCAAGAGTCGCTTAAATGTCCCTAATGTATCTGACTCCACTACCACTGCTGGCAGCGCATTCCACGCACCCACCACTCTCTGTGTAAAGAACCTACCTCTGGCATCTCCCCTATACCTTCCTCCAATCACCTTAAAATCCATCTGATCCGGGGAATTTGTCCACCTGAAGACCTTTCAACTTCCCCAGCACCTTCTCCTTAGTAACACACTCATCTCTGTCCCGCTGACTGACATTAAGCTAATAAATTACAGCAGAGCAACATGCTTCCAGTAAACTGTCAAGCTTCAAGTGATCTTGGAGTAGATGGAGAATGAGATTTTTATACCTTTATGTCACTTGCAATGATGCACTGATGATTGTATGATCAAGTATTTAAAAACTAAACTGACATACTGACCAGGAGACATAGTTCAACATCCTGCACCTTTCACTGTGATACAAACCTTCTTCTCTTTTGTTTTTCAATTTTCCTCTCTTTCACTTGCTGAAAATAATTTCTAACTCTTCTCGACTCACAAGCCTGAAACATTGACCCTGTTTCCTGCCTGCTGTTGCTGCCAGACCTACTGAGCACTTCAAGCATTTTCTGCATCCATTTTGGGCCTTGCTTGTTTTGCTCATGTTCCAAAATGAATGAAAAAGTCCCAGCCTGCTTTATCAGTGCACCGAACATCATGCTATCAATGCATCGTCCCATATGAAAGCAAACTTGCAGATGGAAACTGGAATCCTCATCCCTGCTCCAGTTTTGTAAACAATGCCATCATCTGCAAGTCAAGCACAGCCAATCCATGTATGGATTACTCAGAGCCCACTCCTAATGTGATGCAGAAGACAGATGGTACTAAGCAATGTTTGGAGAATTGTGGTTGGAGGGCAAGGCTGGTGATTAGTATTGATGAATTATTAACACTAAATCATAACATTAGGTTATTTAAATTTTATCTGATGAGGTGCAAACAACTTATCACATTCATGCCACAAGCCATTTATTTCTCAATAAAAATATTTGGATTACCATCATGCTTGCTGTTGTAGCAAATGTCTTTGTTTCAAAGTCTTCAAAACAAAATGTGGGTCATACCATATTGAAGGAGACCTGAAGACAATTGATCTGAAGGCATGTGGTAAATGGGAGTGAACAAGATCAGAGTCTAGGGCAGCAGAGTAGCTCAGTGGTTAGCACTGCTACCTCACAGAACCAGGGACCTGGGTTTAATTCCACCCTCAGGTGACTGATTGTGCACAGTTTGCACATTCTCCCCGTGTCTGAGTAGATTTCCTCCAGGTGCTCCGGTTTCCTCCCACAGTCCAAAGATCTGCAGGTTAGGTGGATTGGCCATGCTAAATTACCAGTAGTGCCCAGGGATGTGCAAGCTAGGTGTATTAGCCCTGGGAAATGTTGGGGGGGTGGGTGTTACAGGGATAAGGTAGGGGGTAGGTCTGGTGGCTTGCTGTTTGTGCAGAGTCAATGGGCTGAATGGCCTGCTTCTACACTGTAGTGATTCAATGATTTACCTTGGGTGGCAATCGTGATAACCTACCCCTATAACTTCCAAGTGCACCTTAGTGCTGTGGCTGACTTTGT